AGAAGGCTCCTCTCGCGAAGTCATGATGCAGTTCGCGCCGCCGGGGCCCCCACACCCGGGCGGCGAGCCAGAGGGGGGTGCGGTGGCCGGCGTGGATCGCAATCGGTCCCTGCTGCCGCTGCCGCTGCCGGCCTGGTGCTCGGGCCCTGCGGGGCGCTCAGGCGGGCGTCGCGGACGGAGCCGTGCTGCTGGGCGGGCGCGCCTGGCGGGCCTACTTCGAGACCTGATTCTGACTCTGAATCAGAGGGACGCCGGTGAGGACCAGAATCAGAGGGACGCCCTGTCACATCCAGGAGCTGGCGCTCGCTCACCTCACCAGCTGTTGCGCGGAGCTAGGCAGCCCACCGCCTGAGCTCACGGCCGATGCGGCCCTGAGGGAGCTGCAGGTCAGTCCAGCTTATGGGGCTGAAGAGCCTCAGACGCTGGCCCCTTTGACATTCGACCTCGTCTCGCTTCCGAAGGCGGGAGACATCGCGCGCCCTCTGGAGGAGCTTCTCGGACGGGATGGTCCCAATGTTGTCAAAGTTTCTCTCGACAGCAAGGTTTTGCCAAGTCGGCTTGCTGCGGAGCGGAAGGCTGCCGCAAAAGTCTCGAAGCCCTACCTCGACCCCTGCCTCCGAGAGCCGGCCCGCCGGGCGGAGTTCACCCGGCGGCTGCTGGAGGCAGGGATGCTCGACCTTGTTCCCGAGTCGGTCGAAGACCGCGAGGAAGTGGGTTTGTTCACGGTGTGGAAAAAGAATGGTTCAAAGAGATTAGTTGAAGACTGTCGTGGAAGCGACTTCCACTTTGAGGATCCCGAGCACGTGGATCTCGCTTCTGGTGCCAGTTTGTCCTCAATCGAGATTCCTGGAGGGCAGGATTTGTGGATGTCCGGCGTTGATATCTGTGACGCTTTCTATCACATGGGTCTCCCCTCTGCCCTCCGTCCTTTCTTCTCCCTCCCTCGCGTCCGTGCTGGAGACCTGGGGATCTCCGAACTCCAGGGCCAGGCCTTGGGGCCGCGTGATTGGGTGAGGCCCAGATTCGCTGTCCTGCCCATGGGCTGGTCGCATGCTCTAGCTTTCTGTCAACGTGTGCACGAGACTGTTCTGAGAGAGCGAGCGGGGCTTGGGGATCACGATCGTCTCGTCGACGGGCGGGTCCCTCCTCCGCTAAGCCTCGGGATGCACGCCGAATATGTCGATAATTGTGTAGGCTTCGCCACCTCCGCCGAGCGGGCCAACGAGCTCCTCGCGTGTGCGACGGAGTCGCTGTCCAAGGCGGGCCTGCCTCTTCATGAGCCTCAGGAGGCCTCCTTGACTTGCGAGAGTCTTGGTTGGGAATTCGAGGGCTCTCGGGGCGTGCTGCGGCCACGGGCCCGTAGGCTCTGGCGTCTTAGGATCAGGACTTTGGCCATACTCGACAAAGGAGTTGCCACAGGTAGACAGATCAGTAGGATTGTAGGTCATTTCACGTTTGCGGGGCTCGCTCGGAGGCCCTTTTTGTCCATCTTCGATGCGGTGTATCGATTCGCCACTAAATACAAAGATGTTGCTCGCCCGTTGTCGGACGGAGTTCGCCGGGAGCTTCGCTGGGCTGTAGGATTAGTGCCTCTTCTGTGGGCCGATCTGCGGGCCGAGTGGGAGACAAGGGTGTACGCTACCGACGCGAGTGAGCAGGGCCATGGGGTCGTGCAGCGGGAGGTGGACATCGACTGGGTGCGGTCTCTGGGCCGGGAGAACGATCGCTGGAGGTTCCGCGGCCCGCCAGGGCCCGAGGGACAGACGCGGCCGAGGGGCTGCCTGGACGAGGAACCGTCCGCGGGCCCCTGCAGGCCCAGCCCAGTCCAGGACGTGCCAGCGGCGGTGCTCGACGGGGAGTGGCAGGTCGTCTCGAGCGGGGGCTGGGGCCGGTCCGAGCACATCGTGGTTCTCGAAGGTCGGGCCCTCGTGCATGCCGTTCGCCATGCCCTAAGAGACAGCCGGATGTTCGGGAAGCGGGTGCTCTTCTTGTCGGACAGCCTCTCGTCGGTCTTGACTCTAACCAAGGGACGCTCTTCCTCACGTGGGCTGATGTGGGTCGCTCGGCAATGGGCGGCGTGGTGCCTGGCCGGCGCGCTCGCGCCGACGCTGCGCTGGCTGCCGTCGGAGCGCAATCCTGCAGATGCTCCTTCGCGGCGGCACGTGCCCATCGGCGTGCGCCTCCCCTTCGTGTGCGGCGCCGACGCTGCCGAGGGGTGCCGCTGGCCGGCTCGTGACGGAGCCGAGGGCAGCCATCGGCGGGACTGTCGGAGCGCTGCCGAGGAGCTCCGCGAGCTGGACGCCGGCGAGTCCGCCGGTGCCAGTCTTGCCGCGAGGCGACGGCGGCGGCGCCCAGGGCAGTCGCTCGGCGGCGGTGGCCAAGCGGCGACGGCTCACGGCCCGCACGCCGCGGGCCGACCTGCCGACGTCGGCGCGGCCGCCGCCCCAGTTCGGCGCCCGCCGAGTGCGCGCCGAGCGGCGGCAGCGGCTGGAGGCCACTCGGGCAGCGCCCCCAGCGGGCCGGACCCGACTGCAGCAGAGGTCGGTGACGCCGCTGACCCTCGCCAAGTACGAGCTGGCCTGGCGCCGCTTCTTCGAGTGGCGCCGTCTGTCCGTCGTCCCCGAGGCGTCCCTGCTGCGGAAACGCCAAGCCCAGGGGACGCCGTTCGAGGACCTCCTCGACGACTGGCTCGCGCTCTGGATGGACGAGGAGTACCTGAACGGCGAGCAGGCGCACGTCGGGTCGCACCTGATGGCCGTGGCGAAGTTCCACCTCCCAGACTTCGGCAAGTCAGGGAGCCGCCGCCTCCCGCGGGCAGGGCAGACTCTGCGTGGGTGGCGCCGGCTCGCGCCTGGGCGCACCCGCCTGCCCCTGCCGTGGGAGGCGGTGGCATTGCTCACCGAGCAGCTGGTGCTGGACGGGTACTGGGCGACGGCCGTGCTGGTGGTGCTGAGCTTCCACTGCTACTTCAGGCCCAGCGAGGGCTTCAAGCTGACGCGGGAGATGATGGTGCCTCCCCTCGGGGGAAGCCGGTACGGCAACTGGTCCCTGGTGCTCCACCCGTTCGAGTTCACGGTCGCGAGCAAGACGCACCAGTTCGACGAATCCATGGTGGTGGACGCGCCGGACTTCAAGCTGCTCCTAGACCCCGCGTTGGCGTGGGTGAGGCTGAGCACGCCTCCAGGGCAGCGCGCCTTCGCGTTCAGCGAGGCCGACTTCATTCAGAGGTTCCGGCAGGCTGGGCAAAGGTGCGGCCTGGAGGCGCTGAAGCCCGAACTGTACATGCCGAGGCACAGCGGCCCGTCCTTCGACCAGGCGATCAAGTACAGAACGCTGGCGGAGATAAAGCTGCGCGGGCGTTGGATGAGCGACGCCGCCGTGCAGCGCTACCGCAAGGAGGGCCGGGTGTCGGAGCAGCTCCATCGCCTCCCACGGCACGTGCTGGCGCGGGCGATGGGGGCGCCGGCCCGCCTGAGGTCACTCCTCGGGCGGCCTTCGAGCCCCTCCTTTCCGCCCACCGCGTGTCGCGGCAACAACCGCAGATCTTTTTAGAGATCGGGGCCCGAGCTGGGACCTGACACTCAGGAGCAACCAGCGGCTCATCCGCGGCTGGATCGCCGGCGGGCGCATCTGGGGCGCGCACCTGGGGACGCCGTGCAGCTTCTGGAGTCGTGCTCGCGACCGCGGGCCGATCCGTGACCCAGAGCGGCCGCGGCCTGGCCCCCCCTCGCGGCTGCGCAGCGACGTGCACTTGCTCGGCCTTCCTGAGCTGCGTCATCCCGCCGACCTTGAGGCCGTTCGAGTGGGAAACGAGCTCGCCCGGCTGAGCATCAGTATCATAGAGCAGCTCTATCATCAGCAGCGACCAGTTACCCTAGAGAATCCATCCTCATCAAGAATCTGGCTGCTCCCTAGGCTCCTCAAGGCAAAGTCGTGGAAATCGGCCACCTGTATCGATACCTGCTACTGCATGTTTGGGGAGAGATGGAAAAAGCCCACGCGTTTCTTGGGCTGCCGCATCGATCTGACCGATATCCAGAGGATTTGCACTGGAAGAAAATGCTGTCGTACTGGTCTACCTCATCTTACCTTGTCTGGCTTCGACGGTCCGCGAGGATGGCTCACAAAGAAGGCTGAGAAATATCCCATTGAGTTGTGCTCCCGATTGACCCGCGCTTTTTCAAACGCTCGTGCTGCTTTAGACATTCACAAATCTTCTCGCGTGTGGTTAGGATAAGTTTGTGTGACCGCCCGTGGGAGAATACCCTGCTCGCCCACCCTGAGACGCCAAATGTTGGACAAGTGCGGAAGAGTCGTGCCCCCTTGGGACCCTCGAGGCTTGCCGATCAGCAGTCGGCCTCGTTCTGTTGGGCCCACGGCGGGCTTGCCTTTACGCACCGGCGGCGATTCTCCGCCACAGAAGAGATGAAAAAAGGATCGTCTGTCTGCCGGTCTCTGTGTTTCCATCTTGGCCACGGTTTAGAGCTGCTAAGGCATGTATACTGTTTCACTGTGAAATTCAATGCAGCGTCAGAGAGTGGCCGCAGATTTAATAGTTGAAGGTCTCGGAGCTTCAAACGACGTTCAAACCTTTCCGTATCCATAAAAGCTCGAGAGCTTGTGCTCCCAGCCCACCCTCCCAGGAAGGGTCGTGCCCCCTTGGGACCCTCGAGGCTTGCCGATCAGCAGTCGGCCTCGTTCTGTTGGGCCCACGGCGGGCTTGCCTTTAAGCACCGGCGGCGATTCTCCGCCACAGAAGAGATGAAAAAAGGATCGTCTGTCTGCCGGTCTCTGTGTTTCCATCTTGGCCACGGCTTAGAGCTGCTAAGGCATATATATATATATAGATATATATTGCTCTCTCTCTCTCTCTTTCTCTCTCTCTCTCTCTGTAAACATAAGAAGTTTGTATATACGATCGAGGGCAATTACGACACACATAAAGGCGAGCGGGGGCCGTGCGAGGAGCAGGCGGAAGAGGGGGAGGAGGAAACAGGCGCCTGCAGCTCCACTTCCATCTGCGTGAAGCGACCCGCGGACACGATAACCACCCTGCCACCACAGTCCAGTGCTTCTGCGTTCGGCACCGAGCTCAGCGCAACCCCGCAGATAGGAGCGCACAATCTGAGAAAAAGAATATCAGACCCCCCCTGTGCAAGAAAAGATCCCCCATGATGGGGGGAGCTATCATGATGGATGCATGCTGCATATGGGATCCTGGAGCATTTGGGTAAAATGATTGCTGTTGTTGGTGGTGGTGTGATTGTTTGGTCGTGAACCTATTGGCAACCCGGGCCGCGACCCAGCCATCACCCACCCGCGACCCAGCCGCAGCCGCGACCCAGCCGCGACCCAGCCGCGACCCAACCACAACCCACCCGCGACCCACCCCGCGCCCGCCCCCTCACTCTTACCCGCAAATGCGGAGTGCTACATAAATAAACCATGTACAAATTCAACGCCAACCGAGGGCAACCAACACACTTGTACACAATCAAACGGCATTGTGAAGGCACGCGGTCGGGAGGGGGTGGGCATGAACTGACGTGTTGACTTCCAGGAGCCTGGAAGGAAGGGATCCCCAGATTATAATGAGCGTTTTCTGTGACGCTGGGAAGGGGGGTCGACCCCCCCCCCTCAAATGTGGAAGCGTGGGGGGGGGGTCGAAGCGGCCCCGCGCCCCTGAACCGCCCCCTCCCCTCCCTCCCCATTGGCAACCGACGACGGCCAGCGCCGGCGTTGCACGACGGCGACGATCGAGCCCTAGTAGGATGCTATTAATTAAGGATGTATCAAGCCCAAGTGAGATTATATGAGAGCTGGACCGAGCCCTATGCAGTTTGAGATGGATCGAGCTTTGATAACATTACATTGCAAACGGATCTGGCAACAGGGGGTCCTATGAAAGTTGGATCGAGCCCGGATATGCTATTTAAGCTGACCCCAGCTTGAGTAAGACTCCATTGAATATAGATCGAGCCCGAGTAGGATTCTACCGGACTGGATCGACTCGGCTAGGATGCGACTAAAGCTGTATCCAGCTGTGACAGGATTGTATTAGGCCTTGATGGCGTCGCGTACTAAGATTCTTTGAATGAGAAATGGGGGGCGGCTCGACCCCCCCCCCTGGGTAGGGGCTCTGCCCCCCTGGTTCGACCCCCGCCCCCTGGACAGCCTCCCCCCCTCGTTGGAGTGTCCGGTGTCTGGGGAGGTCGGCGGGTCGGGTCGGGCGGGTGGGCCAGTAAAGTATGATGCGTCATCGAGCTAACACGCGCGAGCCCTAAAGGGAGGGTCGGGTCGGGCGGGCAGGCCATGTCGGGCGGGTCTGGCTGGGCGGGCGGACCATACTGGGCGGGTCGGCGGGCAGACAGAACCTATCGGGCGGGTCTGGTCGGGGGAACGGGCCCTAACGGCGACGGGCGGGTAGGATCGGATGGGGGGACACTAAAGTATGACGCATCATCGAATCAGCATGCGGGAGCCATATCGGGCAAGCAGGTCGGGCGAACGGACCCTATCGGGCGGATCGGGTCGGGAGGGCGAGACACTAAAGTATGATACGCGCGAGCCCAAACGGGCGAGTCGGGTCGGGAGAGCGGACCCTGACAAGCGGCCAGGTCGGGCGGTCAGACCCTAACGGGCGGGTCGGGACAAGCGGGCGGGCCCTGACGGGCGGGTCGGGTCGGTCAGGCAGATCATGAGGGGCGGAACGGGTCGGGCGGGTGGGACACCAAAGTCTGATGCGTCATCGAGCTGGCTCGCGCGAGCCCTAATGGGCGGCTCGGATCCGGCGAGCGGACCATGATGGGCGGGTCCGGCCATGACAAACAGCATCATCATCATCATCATCATCATCATCATCATCATCATCATCATCATCATCATCATCATCATCATCATCAGCATCAGCATCAGCATCAGCATCATCATCATCATCATCATCACATTCATCATCATCATCATCATCATCATCATCATCATCATCATCATCATCATCATCACCATCAAATGCATCAGCATCATCATGTTCATCATCAGCATCAACAACAACAGCAACATCAGTATCATCATCATGATCATACTCATCACCATCACCATCACCATCACGATCATCAGCATCATCAACATCATCATCAGGAACATCAACATCATCAGCATCAGCATCATCATCAGCATCATCATCAACCGCAACATCAACTTTATAAGCATCCTCATCATCAACATCATAAACATCAACGTCGCCATCAACATCCTCATCATCAGCATCATCATCACTCCCCCTCCTGATCGTGATCATCACCACTATCATCACCATCATTCTCACCATCACCATCACCATCATATCCGTCATCATCGCCATCATCATCACAATCAGCATTATCATCGCCATCATCATCAAGATCAGCATCGCCAGAAGCATCATCGTCAGCATCGTGTTCGTCATCATCAACAGCATCATCAGCAGCAGCATCAGCATCAGCATCAGTATCACCATCAGCATCGTCATCACCACCATCAGGGAAATTGTCCTCATCATCCTCATCCGCATCATCAGCAGCAACACAATAATCATCATCAGCAGCATCATCATCAGCATTATCATCGTCATCGTCAGCATCACAGCATCATCATCACCACCAACATCATCATCATCATCAGCATCATCATCATCTTGTTCAGTATCATCATCATCAGAATCAGCATCATCATCATTATCATCACATTCAGCATCATCGTCATCGTCATCATCTTAATCATCCCCTTGTTTTTATCACCATTACCATCACCATCATCATCATCGTGATCGTCGCTATCGTCAAGAACACTCTCATCATCAGCCTCAGCAGTATAATCATGCTCGTCACCATCATAATCATACAAATGGTCAAGTCTCACCAAAGCCATCACCACCATCACCATGATGATCGTCTTCATCGTAATGGTCGTCAGCATCATCGTCATCATCACTTCCGTCACCATCATCATCAGCAGCAGCATTAGCATGATCATCATCTTCATCGTCATCATGATCGCCACCATCATCATCATCATCATCATCATCATCATCAGTATCATCACCATCATGGTCATCATCATCATCATCATCATCATCGTCATCATCATCATCATCATCATCATCATCATCATCATCATCATCATCATCATCATTATCGCTGACATCATCATCATCAGCAGCAGCATCATCATCATCATCACCATCATCATCATCACCACCACCACCACCACCACCACCACCATCATCATCATCATCATCATCATCATCATCATCATCATCATCATCATCATCATCTTCATCATCATCATCATCATCATCATCATCATCATCATCGACGTTGTCGTCGCGGCGTCGTCTGTCGGCCTCCGTCGTCGTCGTCGTCATCGTCATCGTCGTCGTCGTCGTCGGGGGGGGGATCTGGACCCTCCAATATTTTTTCGCGGGGGGGGCGGGGACATTTGGGACCCCGTCCTCCCTCCCCTCGTTTTGGGGAGAGGGGGGTTGACCCCCCCCCTGCCAGCAGCGTCGTGAAGCGCTCTTTCGGGTATTGCTGACATTGCTTCCCGAGGCTGAGCCCCAGGATGAGGAAGGGGGTGAGGGGAATCAAGGGGACAGGAGAGGGAACTACAACGATGACGACGGCGGCGACGTCGACGGAGACCTCCGACGTCACGATTCCTTCGTGACGGGAGCTCCCCGAGCTCACGCCCCCTTCCTCCTGTCCCCGCTCTTCATCAGACTCTTCATCGCAGTTCGTGTTCTGGCGCCCCAGGGCCCGAAACAGGTCCCTAGCTCAAACCGAGGAAAACCCTCCAGAGGCCCCCTCCAGAGGCTTCTGGAGGCCCAGAAAGGGCCAAAAATATCCAACACATTCGATCCTCGAGCTGGGCATGTCACGCCCCGAGCTGGGAACCCGCCAGCTAGCGCCTAATCAGCGTGCTCGGGCCGGACGGCACCAGGAGCAAACATCTGCTCTCCATTTCCGCTCTTGCAGGGATAACCGTGAAGAGGCACCCAAAGAGCACTCCATACGTATCTGCATCGATCCTCGAACCTCGACGACTGGCGTGGAATAAAGTGGTAAATGTCTCCTGAGGGCAACCGGTCTTGGACCCATGGGGCTTTCCCATGCCTGGGCTTTTCATCTCCAGCCCTTTGCCGACGGTCCCGGGGCCCCGGAACGGCCCCGAGGTGGCCAAGGATAACGAAGCAGAACCTCAAGGACACCCCCTTCCCAATAGGGACCCCCTGCCCCTCCTGGCACGACTCGGCGCAGGGCGAAATGAGCCAACGGTAACCCAAATCGGTCCACAGACCCCTCCCGGGGTCCAACGCACCAGGTTTTCGAGCTGCGTCCAGCCGTAGCGACGAAGGGCCCTCTTGAAGGCCAACTGCCGTCGTCTCAACTCGCCCTCCTCTGACAGTCTGGGCCCCCTGCCCCGTCGCGGCGAGACAGCGGCCCCGCCCCGCCTGTCGAAGTACCGCAGGCCCATCCTCTGCACGTACTGGTCGCTGGGCACCGCCTGCGTGCCCGCGCCCGGGACGTCCCAGAGGCGCACCCTCGGCTGCCCTGGCGGGCGCCCGCGCGCGCGCGCCACTGGGATGGGTCCCTTGGCCTCCTCTGCCTCCCCCGGCTCTCGTCCTCCATCCCTGCCTCCCCTGCCGCTGCTCCTTCCCCCTTCCTCCCTCCTCCCTCCCCTCCGCCACCTTCCACTCCTCAGCCTTGCCCTCCTTCCCTCCCCCCCCCCCCCGCGATCGATCCGAGCACGCACTCAGCGAAGCTGCCCCCCGTGTCGCTCTCCGTCCTCGCACTCTGCTCCGCGCTCTCGCCCCACTGCGCCGCGCCGCGGCCCGGGGGGCGTGCACACGAGGGCCGCCCTCATCGAACCTGCCCCTCCTCTCCTCGTGCTCCTGCTCCTCCTCCTCCTCCTCCTCCTCCTCCTCCTCCTCCTCCTCCTCCTCCACCTTCTCCTGCTCCCCCGCCCCCTCCTCCTCCTCCTCCTGCTCCTCCTCCCTCCTCCTCCTCCTCCTCCTCTCCTCCACCTCCTCGTCCTCCTCCTCCTCCTCCTCCTCCTCCACCTCCTCCTCCTCCTGTTGTCCCAGCTCCTCGCGGACCTCCCCGCGCTGGTCTGGCGGCGCATCGGGGGTCAGCACGCGGACCCTCCCCGCTGTTCTCGCTGGCCCTCTTCCCGAACCTCCCCAGATCTTCACAGATCCTCCCCGGCCCTCTCATCGCGGATCCTCAGCAGACCTCCGTCGCCGTGATCTGTGTTCAATCAGTGGGATCTCGGAACTCTCGGCTCTCGGCTCCTTCCTGTTTCGTGCAGGATCGGTGCCTGATGGCCCCGCACCCTCCCTCCGGATGCCGAAGTCGAGGAACAACGAACAGTTGAGCATAACCAACCAATCCACTGGAGGTATCGGTCAGCCGACCAAAACCCGTTCCATGGGCCAATCATGCCTACCTTTCGAGCTGCGTCCAGTCGTGGCCACGAGAAGGCCCCCCCCGAAGCCAAGAGAACGGCAAAAATCCAGAATCCCAGGCCAGGTCGGCGGACCCGGAAGAAACTCAAGGCGGACGAGGACCTCTCTCTCTCTCTCTCTGTCCATGGTCTCGCGGACCCTGGCGGCTGGGCAGGTAGGCCCAGGCGACGCGGCGCGCTCCACGGGGGGGAGTGGGGGGAGCGTCGCGTTCTGGGAAGGGGGGGTCAGGGGGGGGGGCATACAGTGGAGGCCAGTCCACAAGAAACCTTCCGCAAGAAACTCAACCCCGAGACCCCAGGACGTCCATCGATTTTGGGTGTGGGACCTTCACGCTTTCCAATGTAAAACCATCGAAACCCAAGAAACCCAGGGCACCCTGGAGGCAAGCAGTGGGGCTCTTGGCATGGGCCCCCACTGTAACGCGCGTTGTGGCCCAGATGGTTTAAGAAAAACAGTGAGTTCCCTGGCCTCAGAAGCAACCACGAAACTCCCGTGGCGTGCGCTCTGGCCGGAATTCCAATGGGAAGCCGGCCGTGGCGACGGGAAGCCCCCCCCCTTCAGAGGGGTCCAAGACGACGGTGCCGACGCCCCAAATTTCGAGACCTCGGCTTGAGCAGGGACCGACCGTCCCGGCGTTCCTATAGGCATACCGCCACATGTTCTTAGAACTCAAAGCGTTCTAATAACAAAATCAATGTTCTTCGAATATCAGAGTGAGGGGGCTGAACCGAGCGGTCATTCACTGTCCCTGGGTGCGTGGCGGAAGTGGAATTCCGCGATGCGGATTATTGTTGTTGTTGTGGTTATGTTGTTGTTGATGTTGATGTTGTTGTTGTTGTTGGTGTGGTTGTTGCTGCTGTTGTTGTTGTTGTTGTTGTTGTTGTTGTTGTTGCTGTTGTTGTTTGTTGTTTGTTGTTTGTTTGTTGTTTGTTGTTTGGTGTTTGGTGTCTGGTGTTTGTTAATTGTTATCGTCGTCCCACCCGCGACCCGCCCCGCGACCCACCCACGACCCACCCCGCGACCCACCCGCGATCCACCCGCGACCGACCCCTCGACCCACCCGCGACCCACCCCGCGACCCACCCGCGACCCACCCCGCGACCCACCCGCGACACACCCGCGAACCACCCACGACCCACCCCGCGACCCCCTCGCGACCCACCCCGAAATCCCCCGGCGACCCACCCGCGACCAACCGGCGACCCACCCGCGACCAACCCCGACCCACCCTCGACCCACCCGCGACCCACCGCGACCCACCCGCGAGCCACCGCGACCCACCCGCGACCCACCCAGCGACCCACCAAAAAATTTCGGCGCCTGCGGCGGGTTTCTTTTGCATTCGCTTCAGGTGGAGAACCTGCGACCCACCCGCGACCCAAACCGCGCCCGCGACCCACCCGCTTCCCACCCGCTTCCCACCCGCGACCCACCCCGCGACCCACCCAAAATGTTCGGCGCCTGCGGTGTTTGTTTTGTTTTACATTCGTTCCAAGTGGAGAACCTTCGACCCACCCGCGACCCAAACCGCGTTCAGTGTACAAATCAAAATTTCGGCGCCTGCGGCGGGCTGTTTTTGAATTCCGTCCAAGTAGAGGTGGAGAACCCGCGACCCACCCGCGACCCAAACTACGTTCACAGAACAAGCCAAAACTTCGGCGCCTGCGGCGGGTCCCTTTTGCATTCGATCCAAATGGAGAACCTGCGACCCAAACCGCGAAAAGTGTACAAAACAATGTGTTCGGCACCTGCGGCGGACTGTTTTTGAATTCCTTCCAGGTGGAGGTGGAAAGCCCGCGACCCACCCGCGACCCAAACTACGTACACTGAACAAGCCAAAAGTTCGGCGCCTGCGGCGGGCTGTTTTTGCATGCGTTCTGGGTGGCCCACCAGCGATCCCCCCGCGTTGACCTTGTCAGAGAACGCAAATCGGCGCCTACGGCGGGCTTGATCGCATTGGTTTGGGAACGCGCCCTCGTGCCATTCCCCCGATGTGGCCCACGCAACAGCACATCGGCGTCTGCGGCGGGGCTATGTCTGAACACGCTCATTGACAATCCAGCTGCCTGCTGCAATCCGGTATCCGTGCCCAAAGCCTGGGTTCAGGGGAAGCTGCCTCAAGGCGCTCACAATTAAGGGGCCTCGGGGCGCTCAAGGACCCTCCTGAAGGGGGCGTCCACGAATCCTACCACACAGCACGCCAGTGCCGCACAAGCGCGGCGGCGGATTTTGCATGCCGTCTGAGCCCCCCAAGACCTCTTCAAGCTCCGCTCGTCCACACCAGCCCATCCAGCAACTTTACCCTGGCGAATTGCCTGGATCAGAGAAGTCGGGGAGCATTCAGTGGAAGCAAGGATTGGTTTGCCGTTATCTTAAGAAAGAAGGGCGAGGCAGATGAGTAAACAGGGGACGAGGAGGACGCGGAAGAAGAGAGGATGTAAGGAGAATGTGGAGAAAGAGGAGGAGGAAGAGGAGGAGGAGGAGGAGGAGGAGGAGAAGGAGGAGGGCGCCATCGACAGGGACGGTGAGGGCCACGAGGTCCGCCGGCTCGACGCCCGCGTCGCCCGCGCCCGCCGCCTCACTCTTATCCGCAATTGCGGGGTGCTATGTAAGTCTGATGAGTTAAAACAAGACGGTCCCAGCCAGAAATGTTCTAAAAGCATGTCGTGCATACCTCAGGTTCTCAGAACGTTACGTATTTGGTGGGCCTATCAGCGAGCCGGGACGCTTCGCCACTGCTTGATCGGCGGTGCTCGAGCCGCCGCTGGGCCGGGCCGGCAGGCCTGGGAAGCAGTACACGGTGGGCCGCTCCGTGGTCTCGTTGACCCCGACGGGGGGCCCAGCCGTCCGCGTGGGGCCGCACCCTGCGCCTGAGGTGGCGGGGAGGAGGAGGAGGAGGAGGAGGAGGAGGAGGAGGAGGAGGAGGAGGAGGAGGAGGGGCAGGAGGAGGAGAAGGAGGAGGAGGAGGAGCAGAGGGAGGAGGAGGAGGAGGAGGACGTGGTGCGCAGGGGGGGATGCATCGACCTGGAATCGACGATACATCGCCGATAGATCGGCGATAGGCCCCCGAGAGTGAGTGAATCCGCACCTTCCTGTGCAGGTTGGGGCTACCGGGGCGAATGGCGGTCGATGCATCCCCCCCTATGCCTGCCCCCCCCATCGTTGCCCCCGAGGGGGGAGTGGGTGGGGCCGGCGGAGCCCGAGACGGGTGGACGCCGTCAGAGTCGGCAGACGCCGGGCCTCGCCTTCGACGACGACGGCGCGGCGGGCGCACGCCAGGCGCCGCCAGCAACGACCGCGACGGCGGCGGCTCCTCGAGTCCTCGGCGGCACTCGGGGGGTTCCCGGCGGTCTCCGGGCGGTCTCGCGGGGCTGGGTATCCCGTCGAGGGCTTTGCGACTTCTGCAGCCCCTCGACTCGCGCGCGCTGCGATCTCCGCGAGCAGTCCAGACTGTGCACGGGAGTCCCCTGAACATCGAATGCTGTAAGGGGGTCCACGTTTTGGTTGTGAGGGCCCAGCTTTCGATCACGGAATGTAAAAATGTGCCGCCCGCGTGCCATGCCAAAATTCTAGAATACGAAAAAGTGCTGTGCCGTGCCATGGAAAGCCCGGATGCCGTGCCGTGCCTAGGCCCTAGAATGCGAGAAATATGCGGTGTCTTGTCCAAATTCAAGAATGCGAACATGTGCCGTGCCGTGTCGTGCCCAAGTGCCGTGCCGTGCCGTGCCTTGGTTCTAGAATGCGAAGCAAGGCCAGCAAGGCAGACCAGCACGGCAGATGAACAGAACAGCACGGCCGACCACCACGGCCGACCGGCACGGCAGACCGGCACAGCTCAGACCAGTACGGCTCAGACCAGCACGGCGGACCAGCACGGCGGACCAGCACGGCAGACCAGCACTCCGTAGCCACTTTGGCTCAAGCCATGCTCTTGCGCGCGCGGCGTGCGGGCGCTTGGGCGAGATGGCGCGGGAGGTCCTGCGAGGCGCAGCTGGAGCGCACGCCTCCGCGGGCCGCCTCGTGCAGCGGTTGACGCGCGAGCTGACCGAGGCTCGGAGCAAGGCACCGAGGCTCTGCGAGCTGCTCGAGGCGAAGCTCGACGGCGACGGGGACCCCGAGGTGCTGCGGCGCGAGGCGATCGCGCGGCCAGTTCTGGCGGCCCACGTCGCAGGGCAAGCCCGAGGCCCCGGAGGCCAGGCGGCAGCGCAACGTGGCTTGGCACGCCGCCTTCTGCCCGGAGGCCGGGGCGGAGCCGTCCGCCGGGCGCAAGGCCGAGCGCGGGCCGCGTCTGGGCGCAGCTCCCAGCCTGGGGGCAGCGCGGCCGCCGCCGGACATCGAGATCGAGGTCTGCCTCGCCGAGCCGGCCATGGCGCTCGCGCGGCCCGCGGTGGAGCGGACGCGCCTGCGGTCTGGCGCCCTGCCATACCGGTCGTGCCGCACGCCGCTACACGCTCCTCAGCGCGGCCGTGCGTGTTCGCCCGGGGCCGGGTCGGCGCTCTGATGGAAGCTCTGGGGGTGGAGCTGGCCACAGAGGTCGAAGCAGATAATCGTGCTGTTGAAGCAGGCTCTGCTCCGTCGCCGGTCTCGGGCCTGCCAAGCAGGCGGTCGACGCGCGGGCCCGTCGTGTATGACGACGACGCCGAGGAGCCCCAGGCCCAGGCGTGCGGCGAGAGTTCGGACACTGACGAGGCAGCGTCGGGCGGCGTCAGCGCAGAGACGAGCGTCCGAGAGCAGCGGCCTGGCGTCGGAGCGATAGCGGTGCTGCGAGCGCGGGGACGCCGCCGCCGCGGTCGCAGAACGCCGACGAGCTTGGACCCCTGCGAGGATTAACTACCCGCCTGCTGGGAACTGGTGCTGCGAGCGCGGGAGCGCCGTCACCGCCGCCAAGCCACGGCGCCGGGTGCGCCGTCGCCGCCGCCAAGGAGCCCGCCTCCGACCGCGGCTGGAGGCGATGCACCTGCAGGTCCTCCCGGCGGCGAGCGGGCAGCAGCGGGGGAAGCAGCCTTTCGTCCGCCGCCGTGCGCGCCTCGGGACCAGCCACAACGGCGGCGGCGAGGGCAGCGGCGACCTGGAGGCGGCACCTCTGCGTCGGGTCCATATGTCGGGCCGTTCGAATTCTCAGTTGTTGAGGACCTCTGCGCCTGCGAGCGTCCGACGGCGACTCCGACAGCGAGCCCGATGGCCACGATAAGTACGGGTGTTGCCCACATCAGGTCTACGCGATCGAGGTTACGCATGGAGAGGAGGCCGCCCGCTTCGGCCTGTCCCTCGAAGCTGCGCCGCCCTTTGGCATCGCGGGCGGCTTCTTCGGGTACTAGCCTCGCGGAGTGCGTAGGGACGACGATCCTCTCATGCACCTGGGCCGCATCCAAGCCGAGGAGGCCTCCGAGGGCGGCATCGGGTGCACAGGAAGGGACGCTGGAAGTGATTCCGATGACGGAGGATCCTGTGTTTGAATGCGCTCTGCAGTTTAGTTGTAATTGGCCTGCACTTCTTGGATGATTGAAGGAGTGAGTGAGAGGCCTTCTGCATCAGCATGTGTACGTGCCTCGATGCAGTCTGTGCCCGCTCGCATGTTGTGCTGGAAGTGGTCCCGACGACGGTGACTCGTGTGCTTGAATGCGCTCTGCAGTGGAGTTCAGTTGTCTTTGGCACTCTAACTTCTTGGAGTTGAGGGTGTGAATGTGAGGCCTTCTGCATTTGCATGTGTACGTGTCGCGGTGCAGTCGGTACCCGCTCACATATGAGATGTCTCCTGCATTTGACTGCGTAATTACCTTGCGAGACCTCTCTATGCGGTAGAGACGCCCCGAGGGGTGAGCAGCCCTCGGCGGGTGGGGACAGGCTTGCGGCCCATCGGCAACCGCGCACCCCCCTGGCGCCCCCCGTGGGAAGGCCCCTCTGCGGCCTCGGCCCCTCGGTGGGGCCCCGGCCCTCAGTGGGCTCCTCTTCCCGCCTTGAAGGCTCCGCAGTTATCAGTTACGGGCAGACCAGCACGACTCAGACCTGCGCGGCAGACCGGCAAACGGCAGACCGGCACGGCAGAGCAGCACGGCCGACCAACACGGCAGACAAGCACGGCCGACCAGCTCGGCAGACAAGCACGATTCAGACCAGCGCGGCAGACCAGCTCGGCAGAGATCACCTTGGCAAACCCGCACGGCGGACCAGCAGTGGAGACAATCACGGTTCAGACCAGCACGGTAGACTAGCGTGGTGGACCAGCAAGGCAGACCAGCACGGCAGACCAGCCTGGCAGACCAGCAGGACAGACCAGCACGGCGGACCAGCATGGCAGACCAGCACGGCAAACCAGTTGTGCAGACCAGCACGGCAGACCAGCACGGCAGACCAGCACGGCAGACCAACACGGCAGACCAGCACGGCAGACCAGCACGGCACACCAGCACGGCACGCACTTCGCGTGACCAGCACGGCAGACCAGCACATCAGACCAGCCGTCCTTTTCACAGCACGTAGAAACAACGACGCTTCCAGTTCCTGCCCGATCAGATTGAGAGGAAATGGCCGTTTCGCTCGAGACATCCTCGAACAGCTGGCTCCGGAGAGGACTCTGAACCACCATTATCTCTGAATCTTCACCGTGTCAAAACGACCCACGAGAGCTTCCGAAGGCCCCGTAGGGGACCCCCAAAGCGCTCCGAGAGGCCCCCAAGGGGCACCCAGAGGCCCCCAAGAGCGCCCGAAGAGGCCACAGGACTGCCTAAGAGGGCCCCAAGACGGCGAGGGCCCCAAGACGGCCCCAGAGAGCCCAAGATGCCGCCAAGAAGACCTGAGAGAGCCCCCACAGAACCCTGAGACATGACCAGACAGCCCAAGAAGGACCCGAGTAGCCCCCAAGAGGATCCCGACAGGCCCCCAGAATACCCCAAGATAGCCCCAGACAGCACCAAGAGCCCCCAGGGCGGCCTCAAAAGATCACGGGGATCCATATCATTCTCCAGAGGCCGCCAGGATGCCCCAAGATAACCCCAACAGCTCTCAGGGTACCCTCGAAAGATCACGAGGATTCCCCTTTTCTCGACGTCTTCCTCGGGTTCCTTACCTTGCGTCTTCTTCTTCCCTTTCTTCTCCTCCTTCTCCTCTTCATCCTCTGCTTCGTTCCTCCTCGTACCTGTCCTCTTCCATCTCTTCCTCGTCGTCCTCGCGTTTGTCTTCCTACTCGCTGTCAATGGACAAATTCGTCGATTCCCGTTCTTGTAACATGAGGCTTCGGTCATTTGTTGAGCGTTGCACAAACACCTGTCCAACCGCCAGCCCTTCTCTCTAAGACGTCCCCCGCTTAACTACACTGGTTTGCGAGCCGAGGAACAGGGATATGGAAGGCGGAGGCGTAAGGAAAAGAAGAAAAGGAACACAACAAAACAACAATAACGAAGAGGATCAACATGAACAGGTAGGCCGGGATTAGAGGTTTCAAAGTGAAGGCAACGAAGCAACAGAAAGAATCATAGGACGAGCAGTTAGCAAACCACAATGAGGAAACACTGGGAACGGATACCATGAGATAGCACGCACGAACAAACGGGAAAGAAGAGGATGCATGAATAGAAGGAGGAGGAGGAAGAGGAAGAATCGGGGAAGATCGAACATCGAACCTCCCGGAATCAAATCGTCGGATGCTCCTGCCACATATTGGGCCTTCCGACAAACGTCTGTGAAGTTCCGACAGACTCGGAAGTGAACCTCCTGCGGCAGGACGCGAAAGGAGGAGGGGACAACGCTCCACAGAGTAACTGCATACACTTGGCTTCCACCCCGGCGACGGGCGTTACAAAGGGGAACCTGGTTTGTTTCTTGAAAAGAATCAGGTGGCTGCAATTTCTGCAAGCGAGCACTTCCCCATCACCCCGATCAAAATGATCGTTACCAACATCGTCAGCATCACCATTGCCATCGTCATCGCGATCAGAAACATCGACGTATTCACTTTCACCACCGCCGTCATCATCGTCATCATCGATGCCATTGCCATTGGCCCATTAATGCGCGCGTTTTTCCTCCTCACCATCACCAGCACGATCGTCATCAGCATCGCCAGTGCAACAACTGCCACGACCATGCTCATCAATAGCATATCCATCATCATCATCGTCGTCCTCGCCGCCATCTGTCACACCGTCGTCTTTATCACCATTATCAGCATCACTACCAGCACCATCGCCATCACAAAAATTTAACATCATAATCGCCACCACCGTCACCATCACCTCCACCATCACGCCCATAAACATCACCATCGTCCTCGTCATAATCACCACCGCCATCATCATCACCATCACCATGACCATGACCATGGCCACGACCACTGTCACTGTCATCATCGCCATCCGCATCACCATCGTCATCGTCATCGTAATCGTCGTCGTCATTGTCGTCGTCATCGCCATCGTCAGTGGCCGTGACTGTCGCAACTCAGTTGGGTGTTGCCAAGAAGTTGGGGGTGGGCGGGTGGGACGTTTGCACGAACTTTGGAAGTGACAAATTCAGAATTGACAACTGCGCCCGATAGGTTTCACATTATAGTTTGGACCACGTGGAATGCACCTCACGGGTGGCGCCGAATCTCGGGTGGTGTCCACGCGCTGGCACCATCCTAATCATTGGTTTGCATGGCCCTCTCCTCAGACACCTCCCAAGCCCCAACGGCGGGCCCTGGGCAGGGAGGTTCTGGCGGCGCTGGACTTCCTTTGGAGAAACGAACCCGCGCGAGAGGACTGCCTCAAACGAGAGTACTGCCTCATCGCAAAACGGACCGCCATCCGCCCCCACACGGGGAGACTTCCCTCCTCGCGCGCAGGGGAGGCCGCTCGCTCATCGGCGAGGAGCTCACGCAACACGGTCGAGGTGCAGGTCAGCGCCTTCTCGCCCCGTGACTCGATGGCGGCGGTGCGCAGGGGGACGGCCGGCGCGCCTCCTCTCGTTGATGGCCTTCCCGACGAGCAACCCCTGCCAAAACATATGACACGTGCAATTGGGTTGGCACCCCGTGGGCGGGTAGGCGCGAAGGCCCCATCGGAATTTTGGACCACACGGCCCCGCCACTCCACCAAATGCACAGAAGCTCAAGGTGGCTCCAGCGTCACGGGCGTAGGTGACCGCACCGGCCCCGGGCAAGGTGCCGCGGGGCGGGGCCCAAAAAGACGAGCCGGCATGCTGAGACCGAGCCGTGAAGCGCGCATGGCATTGTCAATGTCCCCGCGGCGTAGGGCCGAGCACCAGGATACGGTACTCGGCAGAACAGCAACTGCCCCCCCGGCGGGAGCAGGAGGAAGAGGAGGAGGAAGAATGAGCGGCCAAACGGACAAGATGGAGCAAAGCTTGTGTTTGATACGACGTGGTATGGCTTGGTAGAGATTGCGAAGGTCCAAACTTGCCATCTGATTCCCCTGCTCGTGGCCAAAGTCCTCCAGCTCCTCAACACGCTCGGAGCTTTGGCTGAGTGCCGCGCAGCTTGTTGATGAGGAGCGACTTCCCAACCCCGGAGTTGCCGACAACACCCTGGCGCAATCGCTGGGAGGCAGAGGTCATGAAACCAGGGGGGAGGGCAGTAGGAGCAGCAACGGCAGCACAAGGAGGGGGAAGACGGGAGAACGTGACGAGAGAGAGAGGGGGAGAGGAAGAGACAGAGAGAGAGAGAGGCACACACACATATATATATATGTATATATACATCGAGAGAGAGAGAGAGTGGAAGAGAGATAGAGGGAGAAGAGAAAGAGAGAGAGAGAGAGAGATACATGCATTTGTATCGGAGGTGATGGGGGTCAAATGGCAGTGAGACGGAGAGCTCCCCACCGGGAAATCGGATTCAATTTCGTGTCGTGCGTGCGGGCGATGCGAAACTGCGTGGGCGCGCGAGAGGAAAGAACCCTGCTCCAGCTAGTGCGCCCCCGGGCCAAAAGGCCGCCCCCACGCCCCCTGGGTTGTCCAGCGGTGGCCGGGGGTGTCCCCCGGATGTCCCGCTGGTGTCCCGCTGGTGTCCCGTCTGTGTCCCGCCGGTGGCCCGTCGGTGTACCCCAATGGCTTCCCGTCGTGAGATCGATAGTGAGATCGACAGTGAGATCGACAGTAGGACGGATGGTGAGATCGCTAGTGAGGTCGATAATGAGATTGAGAGTTATATAGGTTGTGAAATCGATGGGTAGATCGATGGTGAGATTGATAGTGAGACCGGCAGTGAAACCGATAGGGCAACCGATGATCAGATCGATAGTGAGATCGATGGTTGGATCGACAGTCAGACGGATGGTCAGATCGATAGTGAGGTCGATAGTGATTGTGAGATCGAAAGTTTGATATATCGTGAGATTGATAATGGTATCGATAGTGAGATCGATAGTGAGGTCGACAGTGAGACCGATAGTGAGGTCAATAGTCAGATCGATAGTGAGATCGATTGTGAGATCGATCGTGACATCGGTAGTTAGAGGGACAGTGAGATCGATAGGGAGATCGATAGTGAGATCGATAGCGAGATCGACGGTGATATCGATAGTGAGATCGATAGTGATATTGAGTGAAGTCGATAGTGACATCGATAGTGACATCGATAGCGAGAAGGATACAGATATCGATAGTGATATCGAGAGTGAGATGGTCAGTGAGATCGATCTCGAGATCGATTCAGTGAGATGTTGGCTCGTCCCCCCCTCCGAACCTCACCCGAAGGGTGGTCGCTTAGGTATATATACGACCATCCTTGGGATGATGAGGTGGTTGTTGGGGGGACCAACTGATGACAAATGCGATGGGACACCGTCGGGGCACCCTGGGGACAAACAAATGCCACCATCGGGACACCATCGGAACACCATCGGGACCCTATCGGGAAACCATTGTGGTCCATCCGTCCACTATTGTTCTATCGATCTCTTTATCGGCCTCACTACAAATCTCGATATCAATCTCACTATCGATCTCACTATCCGTTGATCAATCTTACTATCCGTCTCAGTATCGATCTCACTATCGATCGGAGGCTGGGGGGAAGAGATCGCAGAGGAACGGAGATCCCCCCACCAGGAAGTCGGTTTCGGTTTCGTGTTCGTTTCGCACGTGCCGGCGAGGAGCAGCTACGTGCGCGCGAAAGGAATGAACCCGCCGTCGCTGGGGCGATTCAGATGCAATGGAACGCCCCTCCGCCCCTGGTGGGCGTGCGGTGGCCGGGGGGGGCCGCCGTGGTGTCCCGTGGTGTCCCGTTGGGGTGTGCCCTCGGCTTTCCGTCGGCGGTGGTCGGGCGGTGGCCGGGGGCGTCCCGCCTTGATATCGATTGTGAAGTCGATGGTAAGATCGATAATTGGATCGCTAGAGCGGAATGAATAGTGAGATAAGAAGTGAGATCGACAGTGAGGTTGATTGTGACATTGGTGGTAAGATCGATCGTGAATTCGTAAGGTCGAAAGAGAAATCGATAGTGAGCTCCATAGTGAGATCGAAAGCGAAATGTATGAAGAGATCTTCGTGAGATCTTCGTGAGATCGAAAGTGAAATGGATCGAGTGTGATCGATCCTGTGAGTTCGATAGTTGGATCGATCGAGTGAGATCGAAAGCGGGGACGATGGTGACATTACATCGCAGCGGAACAGCGCCATCACGTGTCGCCGTTAACTCGAGGGTGCGTCACCAGCATCGTCATCATCACACCCATCGCATTTGCCAGCAGTTGGTTCTTTCCCCCAACACCCAACCGCCTAATCGGCAGAAGGGTGGTCGTATAAGTAGGTCTCACTATCGATCTCACGGTCGGTCTCACTATCAACCTCACAATCGACCTCACGACCGACCTCGCTGTCGATCTGACTATCGGCCTCCACGAACCACCACGGGACACAGCGGAACACTGCGCCACGGAACACCACGGGGCACCGCATCGATCCCACTATCTATCAACCCAACCGTCGATCTAACGTTCGATCTCACTACTGACCTCACTATCGATCTTACTCGATCGATCTCACACATGATCTTACGATCGAACTCCACAGGCTACCACGGGACACCGCAGGACACCGCGCCACGGGACACCACGGGACACCACGGGACACCACGGGATACCGGGGGGGCACCCCAGGGCAACCGCTGGCCAACCGGGGGGAAGAGACATTGAGCCTAGTTTCGCCCTAGTCAGAGGAGGGATCACTCCTCGCGCCCGCCCACGCAGCTTCGCCTCGCCCGCACGCATGACACGAAACCGAAACAGATTCCCTGGTGGAAGGCTCTGCGATTCACTGCGATAACACCCCACAAGTACCGACATACACATATATATATAGATAGACAGATAGATACCTACGTATACGGCCACCCTTCCGGAGATAAGGGGGTTGTGTGGGGGGACCGAACCAACGTCTCACACAATCGATCTCACCAGCGATCTCACTATCGATCTCACTACCGATCTCCTTATGGGCTCACGATCAATATCGTTATCGATCCAACTCTATCGATCTCACTCTATCGATCTCACAATCGATCTCATTCTTCCGATCTCACTTTTTTGATCTCACTCTGGCGATCTCACTCTATAGATCGCATTATTGATCTCACAATCGATCTCACAATCGATCTCACTGTCGATCTCACTATCGACATCGGTAGTGGTGAAGAACGAATGGCTAGCCAGGACACCGACAGGGCACCCACGGGACACCGACGATACACCGACAGGACACCGACGGGCCACCGACGGAGCACCGACGGGAGACCTCCAGCCACCGCCGCGGACACCGACGGAACACCAGGCGGGACACCACGGCGGGACACCCATGCCCCCGCCAGCCCAACGGAGGGGCGGTCTGTTGTCTTGCCTCGCCCTGACCAAGGCGGGGTCATTCCTCCTGCCCGCCCACGCAGCTACGCCTCACCCGCACGCACGACACGAATCCGACACCGAAACCAACCCCCCATCCTCCGATAGAGGAAGAGAGAGAAAGAGAGAAAGCGAACAAGAGAGAGAGAGAGAGAGAGATACCTATCTATATTTATGTATATATATATATATAGAGAGAGAGAGAGAGAGAGAGAGAGAGAGAACAACAACAACAACAACAACAACAACAACAACAACAACAACAACAACAACAATAACAACAACAACAACAACAACAACAACAACAACAACAACAACAACAACAACAACAACAACAATTACTAGCACGTGGGGACACACCGTTCTCACCAGTGCCAGGGTTTTCATAGGAGGCGGGCAATACCCCCACTTTGTGGGGGGGCCGGTTCAAGCTCTACCAAATTTCCAAACGACTCTTCGCCACCACCCACACCCAGCTTCCCGCCCTATGACGTTCGGACACTTCACTTCGTGGCATGCGGACGACCGTGGCTACTATTCAGGGCCCCGCGGCCGACGACGACGGCGTGCGCGCGCGAAGAAAAAACGAATGTGTCCCGCATGGTATTATTTGACAGGGATGATGGCCCTGGCAGGTGCGCAACCGTTGTTGCAGAAGTTCGAAAAAGTTGCTCGCAAAAGCCCGTTTGACAGAAATGTTTAAAAAGTGTTGGGTTTCCTACGAATCCGCAAGAGCGCGCGGGATGAAATTTTGACATTTTTTTTTGAAAAACCATTGGTTTTTTGATGTTTTTATGTTAAAATCGCTACGAAAACTAAGGTTTTGGAAGGATTTCGTCTTGCGCGCGCGAATGTCCACTTTACCTTATTTTTTGCAAGGGATTCTTGAAGTTTGGTTATGTTAGAACAAGAAATGTCCACTTTAGCTTATTTCTTGCAAGGGAAAACCGATCGTAACAACACAACCGGATCCGGACCAACCCGTTTTGCCTGAGACTTCCTCACGAAAATGATGAAAATGAGGCTGCGGCCTAGGCGCGGCGGGGGGGTCGTGCACCAGGGGCCCCAACAATAATTATTCTTTAGAAGTAATAATGTTCAACAACAACAACAATTACTAGCACGTGGGGACACTCCGTTCTCACCAGTGCCAGGGTTTTCATAGGAGGCGGGCAATACCCCCACTTTGTGGGGGGGCCGGTTCAAGCTCTACCAAATTTCCAAACGACTCTTCGCCACCACCCACACCCAGCTTCCCGCCCTATGACGTTCGGACACTTCACTTCGTGGCCTGCGGACGACCGTGGCTACTACACTGGCGCATGGGTACAGTGACTTGTTGTGGTAACATTTTCTGGACGCTAGCTTAGTATACGACTTTTCCCCCTGTTCCAACACTGGACACCTGTACTGGTTTTTGGTGGTAACGTGTTCCTGACGCTAGAATAGCGCCAAATTCGTACAGATGTTTTTCGAGGACCTACGGTGCGATTCGTATGATTTTATGTTGCGCGGTGCTAAAATTCCTAAGAAACCCAATGGTTTTTGAAGATTTCGGCGTGCGCGCGCGAAGAAAAAACGAATGTGTCCCGCATGGTATTATTTGACAGGGATGATGGCCCTGGCAGGTGCGCAACCGTTGTTGGAGAAGTTCGAAGCACGTGAA